AGCCCTTGTCACATGGCCTGCGGTGCCCTGCTCCAAGCCATCGCTACTGCCTTCAAAAGCAAAATCGACACATTCAGTCAAAAGAGCCATTCTTCTTGGCCTTCTTAGCAACTAGTGTCCTTGGTAGGTATGTAAAGCAGGGGGTCTGTCTTTCGCCTGATGCCCAGAACTAAGAGATGGGTGCAGTGGCTGTTCTGGCTTCTGCTCAGTTTGAAGATGCTTTGAAAGAATCTACATGGAAATTTAAAATATATATATAATGCACGGCAAGAGAAGTTATACAAGGATACCAGACTGGCAGATGGCAGAGATGCCAGAAGAAATCTAAGGAACCGCTATCAAAATGCTTGGCAATATTTGTGGCTTTATTTATTTTTTAAAAAGGGTAAAAATGGATCACAGGAGCAATCATTACTCATTTCCTTTTAAAATAATATTTTAATTCTATGTAAAAAAAGGAGATAAAAATGGAAAACAGTCCATAAATTCATGGATTACCTATACACAAAAACCAATAAAATGAGTCCATTGTTTCACACTATAGATAGAACTATTAGATGAGATAAGTAAGTTATTGACATTTAAGCTAGATCATTTAACCAACAAAAACAGTGGGGAAATTAAGCCTATTAACCACTAAACACACTCCAGATTTCTAAATGGCCCTCAAAATGGCACTGCTGATGGACAAAGGTTTTGTTCAAATGCAGAATAATACAGTAAGTGAACTCCTGTATTTTTCAATCTTGGCAACTTTAAGATGTCTAGACTTCAAGTTTAAGTCCAAGTATCTTAAAGTTGCCATGATTGAAAAATACTGGATTAGACTGACCATTACATCCTTGAAAGTGAGAGGCAGTTTGGGCTAGCTAAGGCAGCAAGCTAGAAACCAGGAGACAGTGACCCACCATCTAGACCCACCTTAGGCATGAAAGCTGATTGGGTGACTTTGGGCAAGTCATTCTTTCTCAGCCCATGATGTCAGCCTCAAGTGACAAGCTGGTTAAGTCAATTCCTGTCACAATCAATGGATCAACACTTGGTTGATCTGAAAAAAAGCAGACCCTTATCTAGTGGGAAAATTACAAGGAAGAAAAAAAATCCATAATTGATGGAGAATGAGTATTCTTCCTTCCATCCATGTAATGCTGTATCAATTTTTTTATATACAGCATGACAAAGTTACCATAAAGTTACACTGTTGGAGGTTATTTTCTGATCTGGCAAAAATATCCAAACTGCTGATCCCGAGGATCAGTGGTTTTTATCTCACTTTTATTCCTATTCAGAAAATTTCTTGTTTCTCATTCTTTTCCTATAAATCACCTTCAGTATTATTTATTTAACTGAAGGTGATTTATAGTAAAACAATGAGAAATAAGAATGCAGTTTATTGAATTGAATCTAGTGGTTTCTATCCATCTGTGAGGTAAACTCCACTGGTGCAATGAATTATCCATTGTTGTTATGCTTTATATTAAATGCATTTTCTGAATGGAAATAAAAGTGAGATAAAAAAGCACTGATGTTTGGGGATCAGCAGCTTGGATATTTTTGTCAATTTAGAAAATATCCTCCAACATTGTCAGCATAGCGTTATTTGTTGCTGTGAAAGGAGAAGTCACAAGAGCTTCTTCAAGGGCATTGTGAAGTATACTCTAGGAACCTGTTGGGTGAAGCTGCTCTGGCCAGCTTGGAGATGGATCTGGATTTTCTCCTGTTAATTGTGCAGTGTTTGGTCCTGTAATTTCTGAAGAAACGGACAGAATCATTGGAACTGTCAATCAGTCACCTGACTTTTTCATGTATGTTTCTATTGGCTGTCTTCATGAGATATTTATTATATATGATTGGCTACATGCAGTGATGAAGGTGATTCTAATATATCTGAAACCAACAGTTCTGGAAAATTTGTGGCTAGTCTCCCATCTGCCCTTTTTTGGGAGAAGTTTATGAGCAAGTAGTAAGGCTGCAACTTCAGGCATTTCATGAAGTTGCTGGGATTATATATTTTTGCCATGAACCCTCAAGATGTCTTCACTCCTCCCTCCCAGGACCCCCCCCCCCACACACATAGACCAACACCACTGTGATAAGCATAGGAGTTATGGGAACAGAAGAAGTATACAGAGGGGAAGAGGAAAGGAAGTCATTTTAGTTTAGAGGAATCTATTTCTATGTCATGGAACTGTATTCCAAAAAAAACCCCAATGTGGCACAAATGTATTCATTTTAAGGGAGATGGTGGTAAAGGTTTGAGAAAACAAGAATGACTTTGTTTCCTTTCAAAGCAGAGATGGGTGATCTTAACAGGGGACCAAGGCTTGGTTACACAAATTTGTGCAATGGTCTGGCCATCTCCCCCACAAACACTGCCCTAAAATTTGTGAAATGTAGGCAAACATTTCCTGAAAACTTGCAAGACCCTATTTAGTTATTTATTTTATTTGAATTTATTAGCTGTCCAGTTCCAATGGACTCTTATGTGAGAACACCAACAAACTCAGAACATCATACACAAAGCCTTATTTTTGTATGAATTATGGTAAGTTTTCAGGCACATTTTTTCATCATCATTATTATTATTATTAACTTGATTTCATTTCGGAATTGTCAGTCCAATTTTGCAATTATAGAAGGCTAGTGATGTGTAGGTGCTTTATTGCCAACACTACCTTAAATTGGATAATATGCATAGTTGCCAGGCTAAGTGCCACGTTTTACACCAACTGCAACTTCCAAACACTAAGCAACACAACAGAGTGTTGCAATAGTAAAGATGGGATGAAACCAAAATATAAATAACTATTGCCAACCCAACTGGCATACGAATAGTGCTCTAGCTATAATTGTGCTATAATTATGCGAATGCATCATTCACTATAATAACCGTACTGCAAAACCTAGTCCAATTTCGTTTTGACAACAACACAACATTTAGCCTTAATTTCAGCTTTTTCTTTGTTCCCTATCCTATTAGCTGGGGTGATATTCAAAGTTATCCACTGATTCTTTGGAATTAAACGATAAGGAACAATAGAGCTGGATACCATCAGCATAATTATGACAGTTCAATCCAAAGTTTTGAATTATTTATCTATGCAGTTTCATTCACATGCATATTGCGGTAGAATATGTCTCTCTACCACAGAACCGCAGCTCCCAGGAATCCTTTATTCAAAGCAAACTGACTCACATTGGCCTGAAGCTGTAGATTCAAGAGGCAGCAATTTATTCACTATTCTTTTCTCCTACCCTTTCTTCTAGTTCGGACTGGCTTCCAAAATCCTTCTGCATTTTCCTAATAATTACATACAAAATTACATAACAATTACATACAAAAAACAATAAAGCATTCATTTGGTTTTTGGATTGCATGCGATTGTGTCATTTTGACAGATTGCCCATGAAACTGAAAAAAACTATTTTTAGATTTTGCTTAAAACAGGCAACTTTCTTTTTCCTGTGCGACTAACCTGCCCCTTTCCTTCCTGTTAAAGTTCTAAAGAAATGCTAGATAAGTTTATACAATGGCACGGATTTTAAAAGTGTGAAAACTACAGTAGTCCTCCTTTCCTATTTCTAACAACAATAATATTTGTTAATCAGAAAACATGAAATCAGACTCTTTCGGATTTCTCACTACCATAAATTAACACAGTTTTCCTCCTATCACATTAGTAATATAGAGAACCTGGCCTATAACCAGTGGTGGGATTCAAATATGTGAACCACCAGTTCTCTGTGTGGATACCGCTTCCGGAAGTCCATTCTGGGCCTGAGCAACAAAAAATTAGCTACCAGTTCTGCCAAAGTGGTGCCAACCGGCTGAATCCCACCACTGCCTATAACACAGCAAAAGTCTATAGCTGAGAAATTAAATTTGTTTATTTATTTGTAAAATTTATTGGCCACCCATCTTACCATAGGATAAATTTACACCTGCATTGTAGTTTATGTTTTAAAAATAAAATTTAACAAATTTTGTTTGCACTTGTATATATCAAAACCTGATTCCTTTAGTCATTGTTGCATAATTACCCTTGATAGGTGGGAATTATGGGAGCTGTAATCCCATACTCATACAAGATCAAGTGGTGTTTCTGATTAAATTAGTTTTGTAGTTTTGAAACAATTAAAAAGTGATGTGTATTTATCAAAACTTAAAGTGGGGTAAATATAGAAGCAAAAAATCCTTCTTTCAAACTGCCTTAAGCGTTTCATTTTCTAGGGGGTAAAAAACTGCTATGTCTATAGCCGAAGCAATCTATTCTTTTATCTTTTATAAAAGAAACACTATATTCTACATTCTAAATTTAGGATGAAAAAAAAATAAGTGCCCATAACATAAGCTTCTTTTTAAAATTCATTTGCATAACCTCAAGTGATCTTGGGAATGGTTCAGCCGGAATCTGAATCTTGATGTCTCTTCTTCCCATACATTTTATTGAGAAAAAACAACATCAGAAAATACATTTGTGCTTAAGATAGCCCAATTAGAGTAACAAAATAACAGAATAACAGAGTTGGAAGGGACTTTGGAGATCTTCTAGACCATCCCCTGCTCAAGCAGAAAACCCTATATACCATTTCAGACAAACGGTGTGTAATCTCTTCTTAAAAGCTTCTTCAGGAGATTAACTATCCACCCATGAGATCAACAGGCAACTGAACAGAGCCAGATCAGTTCTCATGGAGGACTTATTTAAAAAAACAGACCATAGAAACAGAACAGTAGAACAACAGAACCCCATTGCTTGTCTCTACAGTTCACATATTAATAGGCTGCAGCCCTTATTGGACATACTTTCTCAGGTACTGGGTGGCATATCCATATTTGCATACAGACAACCACCCAACATAATGCAGATTCTCACAAGCAATAAGAAAACACTAGGACAATTATGCCAACATGGAACTAGACACCCCATTAACCCAAATGTCTTCTTTGTCCCCACATCTATGCCAACACATCATTATAAATCCCAGGAAGTACCCACATAAGATTCACATGGTCTTCTCCAATGTCTTATGTGCCATCATCTGCCAGTAACATCTCTCTGGATTCTAAGTAGGACAAGTCAGCAAAAGAATTAGTAGGCAGAAGTTTGTCAAAAGAGGAAATAGACAGTTTCAGAGCATTTTGTCCCTTCAGAGCCTCCATAAATGTCCATCAAAGAGATTATTTTAGAAAAGTGGGACTCTCATAGCACCATCCATTTTGAATTCATCAAAAAGTTTCTGTCAATCTTAGAAGTTCTTAACAAACACATTGGGTTTTTAACATACTACATACATGTAATAATAATAATAATAATAAAGTTGGAAGGGACCTTGGAGATCATATTTTACAAATAACCTACATCTGCCTAACCAACCTATCTTTCCCTCCTCCCATTTAGCTTAGCCTCTCAATTGCATCTGATGATGTGAACTGCCTCTCACAAAAATTCATGCCTTTGAATGAAATGTGTTAGTCAGAAAAAAAAAAATGCTACAAAACACCTCATAATCAGTTAAGTGACTATTGGGTTATATTTCCAACATATCTTGGAGGAGTCACCAGTCTGGAAAAGGCTCAGTAACGAGGATGCAAGTGGCAACTGTGAGGGAAAATGGTATTTCATCCTTTTATGTAGGATGTAAGTGCAATGTTCCGAATGTCCATATAGCTTTGCGTTTCTTTCTGTTCCAGAAGAGACACTCAGAGTTGCTTATTACACAAGAGACACGTAAAATACTTAGTCACTTAATGTAAATTGTTTGAGAAAACCATTAAAATTCCTCTCCTCAAATGTGCGTTTTTACATGCCATTTGGCATAGGATCGGAACAATGAACAAGGGTGGCACTGTCTTCTTGAATTTGGTCTATACTGTAACTTCACCCCAAGAAAGTCATTTTACTTTCCTTTCTCCCCCTCTTTGCTTTAATGGTGTATCACTGCTGAACTTGAAAAAGGATGAGAGAAGTTGTCCCATGATAACCCAAAGTTGGAAAAGTATGCTTTTGCTACTTGGTGCAGGAGACCCATTCTTTCATAAAGCACATAATGCTATAAACCAATATTGTTGTTGTTCAGTCACTTAGTCATGTCTACCTCTTGGCAACACTATGGACTATAGCATGCCAGCTTCTTTCCCCCTCTCCCCCGTTCCTCCACTGTCTCTTGCAGTTTATTCAAATTCATGTTTATTGCATCGATGACACTGTCTAGCCATCTCACCCTATGCCATCCCCTTCCCCTTTTGCCTTCAATCAAACCAAGGTAGGGCTAGGGCAGGGGTAGGCAACCTTGGCTCTTTTATGACTCGTGGACTTCAACTCCCAGAATTCCTGAGCCAGCCATGCTGGCTCAGGAATTCTGGGAGTTGAAGTCCACGAGTCATAAAAGAGCCAAGGTTGCTTACCCCGGGGCTAGGGAAATCCCTTCTTGCAAATCTTGCATGGAGCATATGTAGCTTTGGACTCCTAACGCTTTTTTTTACACTGAGCTGTTTCCCAAAAGGTTTCTCCCCCGGAGCCTAGCTAGATAATAGGAAAGAAGTTAGCTGTTCCATTCTCATTAGATTAAGATGTGTTCTGCAAACGTGATACTAGAATCAGGGAACCTTCAGTCCATGGGCCTGAGCCCTTTCCATCCAGCCTGCTCGGGGGAGGGAGGCAGCAAAGGAAAATGGCTTTTGGAGGAACCTAAAACAATGTTCCCAAAGAAATCTTTCCCCTCAGTGCTGCTCAACTAGGAAAACCACTGAGGAGCTATGAAGAGGAAAAGAGACTAAGAAAGGGAGGAGTTGAAACCTTTTCTTACAGCACTTTCTCCTAGGGCCTGACTGCTGCTTAACCAACTGGAAACACGATGGAAGCAAAGCAGATCCAGATCACTGATTATGCTGGCAAAGCCAGGAGCCCTTGTCTTTTCCAAAGGGATCTCTCAGTTCTGGGTCTGGGAGAAAAAAAAAATGAACTTAGCACTGGGCTATTTTATTTTCTCATCAAATGGGCTACAGAATGGGCTCCTTTGTATCACTCGGCTTTTATTCTCCCTAAAAGGCAGCCTAGAAACCTTTAAACAAATAAAAACAGAGTTTTGAGCCATCTTGAAGACTAATACAGGTAGTCCTGGACTTAACGACCACAATCGAGCCCAAAATTTATGTTGCTAAGCGAGACATTTGTTGAGTGAATTTTTATAACTTTTCTGGTCACATTTGTTATCACTGCAGTTGTTAAATTAGTAACACGATGGTTAAGTGACTCTGGTCTCCCCATTGACTTTGCTTGTCAGAAGGTTGCAAAGGGTGATCACATGACCTCGGGATGTTGTAACCGTCATAAATGTGAGTCAGTTGTCAAACATCTGAATATAGATCATGTGACCATGGGGATGCTGCAATGGTCATAAGTGTGAAAAATGGTCATAAATCACTTTTTCAGTGTTGTTTTCTTTCTTGATTGAGCAAACATCAGGTGGTAGGTGAATGAATGGCTATAACTCCATCTATTTTAAACTCTGAGACTCTTCCCACTTACGGCTTCAGCCAAATCCTTGTAAGTTTCTACTTCTGCGATTCTTCATAGATTCCCCCCAAGAATCTGAACAGGTTTCCAGTAAGGTATTTCCATATCTGTTTTACAGTATTTGAGGTACAGCCTGGTGATAGTATGCTGCCTTGAAATTAATTCATTCCAAACTAAAACATAATGCAGAAATTTAGCAAATTTACATAATGTTCAAAACCCCAACATGTCTTTCTCCGAGCACTTTAATTTTCTGTTCCCATAGACAAATAGTTTAAAAACTTTCTACCATCTAAAAACCTTTTAAATGTCAAACCACAATGAAAATTCAACTGTTTGCAGAAAATTCTACACTCTATTTGACCAATCTATTTTATTTTCAACATTTTTTTTTACATGTACAACAGGGTGCTTGTCATTGCTGATCTTTTCAGATATAATATAAATCTGTATATTATCTATTATTTTTTTTCAAACAATTGGTTTTTATATTTACAAATCTGATTTGAAGTATACACTTTATAATGAAATTCATCTTAGTGATCATTTATTCCAAGTAGGTTGATTTTTCTGGATTTTTCAATAGTATAACTCTAGAGCAGGGGTGTTAAACTGCCGGCCCACGGGCTGGATGTATCATGCCGAAACCGCACCCACCTCATTGCCAGCAATGGAAAAAAGTCGCGACACGTCACGACACGTCACGTGACATTGCGAGTTTGACATCCTACTCTAGAGGATCAAACCAAGATAGCATTGTTGAGCTCTGTTTTGGGGTAATTTAATGGTAAGCATCTGAAATAAAATTGGAAGGTTTATACTATATTACCCTTCCCATGCTATTAACAATCTACTTGGAACCAGATAAATTTATATTTTTGCTTAGAATGTCACCTATATAAGTAAAAAAAAGACATATGTTAATTCTCAAGTTTTCAGTGATAAGTCTTCATCCTATACAGTATTTCAAGAGGTAGAATAAGTGTTTCAAATGTTGTTTTTTATAATATTTTAAATGTTTCCCTTGATAAAACATCAAACTTCCGAAATATATTGGGAATAAAATCTATATTTAATGCCATTGTTGTTTTATTTTTCCTGTAGGGCCTCTAATGACCCCTGGGGTTTTTTTTGTCCATAGTAGGTATATGACAACCAGCTGTGCCTCTCATTTCCATCTTTAATAATGACTAATAATGACCCACCGAGTCATCATTTTAGAGTTACTTCCTTATCTAAACAGACAAATAGAATGACCAAGGGCAAAAAAAAAAGCAGTGGGAGCAACTTCTGGCTTCCTGCCAATTTGACCACAACTGACTGTCCTTCAGCAGCGGATGGAGGGACTGATCTATCCAGCCTCCAGAAGGCTAGGGTGGGAATGGCGTACTGAATCTCTGGATGGTTGTATAGCAATGTAGCAGCACTGAAGTCACCACAGCTTCATTAATTTCAATTCCACAAGAGTTACGGGTCCTAGATTTTGGGTGTGTTCTTAAAGTTAGCCCATTAAAGATTATCTTGGTTCCAAAAAATGTTGCCTTTTGATTCACTGTTTCACTCAGTTAAAAGTTACAGACACAAGAGTTTTAGTAGTATATCCAGGGCTTTTTTTCTCATAGAATGCCCAGAACGGAGTTCCGGCATCTTTTTCGGATGGAACCTTGTAGGGTAGGCAAGACGGGTTGTATGATGTGTGTGAGTTCCGGCACCTTTTTTTTTTTTTTTTACAAAAAAAACACTGAGTATATCTAGATGCAATAATGGAAGTCCTAAACTGCTGATTCTTAACAGTTTTGGATGAGCTTAGGACAAAGCAAGCAGACATGTGATCCAGGCAAGATGGAGATTTGGCAGCCGCCTGGCACTTCCTACGCTAATGCAGAAGGGGTACAATAGCTTTAAAGTTAATGAACACTTCTGGAAGTTGCCCATCTTCCTTGGTGGACAGGTTATATCGGTAGTTTAAATTGAGAGATCTTTTTAAAAGGCATCTAATCCATCAACAACACAATTTACTAAAAAACACTACACATTCACTCATTTATGACTTCAGTCATTTTAACTTCCTAGTTCAATTATTCTGGGTGAAGTTCCTTTGGAAATCATCCACTTGTGATCAGATTATAGTTGCCAATGTTTTGACCGAAATCAAGAAACCAGCTGAATAGACTGCTTTGATTAAAGAAAAGAATACAATTAATTTCTAATTGGAAACCACTTTCGGACTTTGTGCTTGAGGTGGAAGAAATGAAATTTTGGTTTTGTTGATTAGAATGGATTTGTTGTTATAGAAATGGCTAGTATATATTATTATGTGAAAGTAAAAAGTTGAGGTTGTATGTTACTACCTTATTCTACCACACCAAGAGAAGTCAGAAGTCAATACTTTTCTTTTTTTTTCCCCTTCCCTATACCCTACACTTTTTCCTCTTCCCTTTTTCCTCCCCTATTTTCTCATTATTTTCATTTTTGTTTGTATTTCTGTATTTTTTATCTTGATAAACTAATATGTATGAATCCCAAAAGAAACCAGGTATCTGCACACACCAATCCTTTACATCTAGATTGAAGTGAAAGTACTGAAAATTATCATCTTATAAAGTTCAGAACAACTTTGGGACAGAGTATCTCAATATATATTTTTTTCCTTTCCTATAAGCCTGCCTTAGACGTACTCTCAGAGGTGTAGACCTGAACCTTGATTGTAAAGGTTCCAGATAACCCACTTCTTCTACAGTACTTTGCAAGTGAAGAGCAGCTGTCACTTGTTCCACAGTTTTTTTCTCCAACTAGAAAGAAGGAGTGGGAGAACTGGATTATTATTATTATTATTATTATTTACCTTTTTGATATATAATTCAAGGCAGCAAATAAAACTAATATGAATTGCCCAACATGACTGGGAGTGGATAGTCCATTGAAGAACTACCCCCATTCCCCTAACAAAGCATGATCCAACACAAGCCTATTCCCATGATGACTCACAAGTCTCTACCTTGTGATCTCCGTAAGTTTTTCCCCATGTAAAGACTTACACAATTTTATCAGTGAAATGTTACTCCAAATTCTCACACCATCCTGTGGGCAGGTTTTGCCAATTCCCATATACAGGTAGTCCTTGACTGATAGCCAGAATTTCCATTGCTAAACAAGGCGGTTATTAAATGATTCCTGCCCGATCTAACATTTTTGCCATGGTAGTTAAGCACAGCACTGCAGCCTTTAAGTGTATCCAGCTTTCCCCATCGACTTTGCTTGTCAGAAGCCAACTGGGAAGGTCACAAATGGCAAATCACGTGATCCCTGAATGTTGGAACCGTCATAAACACATGCCGGTTACCGAGCACCCAAATTTTGATTGATGTGACTGTGGGGATGCGGTGATAGTTGTGAGAGTAAGGATCAGTCATAAGTCAGTTATTTCAAAGCTGTTGTAACTTTGAAGGATCGCTAAACAAATGGTTGTAATCCGAGGACTCCCTGTTCTAGGGCAGGTTGTTGGACATTGTGTGCCAAAGTAAGAATGTCTCGCAATCCCAACTGCCTATATGTGTATAAATGAATGTAGTGTAGCTTTGAAGTGAGTTTGTACCCATCTTGGTCACATTCACTTAGTTTTTCTCCATCAATGCTCTACTTTGCTTTATTTCTTGGGACTCCTTGGTAAACTCAACGGGCTATATGTGTAGTCCTCGTCTTACAACAGTTCATTTAGTGTCCATTCAAAGTCATAGTGGCACTGAGAAAAATGTCTTATGGCCTTTTTCACACTCATGACTGTTGCAGCATCCCCATGGTCATGTGATCAAAATTTATGATGACTCATATTTATGATGATTGCCGGATCCTGGGGTCACGTGATCACCTTTCGCGACCTTCTGTCAACGGGCAAGCCAGATTCACTAACAGCCTTGCTACTAACTTAACAACTGCAGTGATTCTCTTAACAACCATGGCAAGAAAGGTTGTAAAACGGGGCCAAACTCACTTAACAACTGTCTCACTTAACAATAGACATTTTGGGCTCAATTGTGGTCATAAGTTGAGGACCACCTGTATTTGGATGCTGCCAGTAATAGCCATTCACTTCTAGTACCTTGCAGCATTCACTGGAAATAGAGCTCAGTCATTGTCAGTTGTCCTTCCCATTTTGCTCATCCTGATGCCAATGACCCAGCTCAGTCAGGCTGCTTCTGAATATGACTCTAGGCTCTTTAAAAAGAGTGCTAAACTCATATCCAAAACTAGCACGACAAAACTGGCTGATCAGAAAGTACCACAGTCATCCTGGGACTGGGACTGTGACAGGACCCCAGTGCTTCTTACATCCCCTACTCTCCACCTGTGACCCCAACCAATGGATCCCAGGCACAATGCCGTTCCACAGTTGCAAACTGTTAGTTGAACGGCTCAACAGGTAGCCAAACCTGTTTTTCAAAGCATGTGCTTAAACTCATCCATTCCCAGTCCATCATATGTTAAGGAGAGCGATGGGTGATGATTCCACCAGCAGCTGAAAGGGGAAGTAAAGCCAGGAAATTCCAACCACTTCCTTAGCTTGTTCTGATTGGAAAAAAGTAAAGGCACCACTACACCAACCTTGTTTCTGAGGCAGAATAAGACATATCAGAGCAGTGCAATTTAAACTCATAGCTTTCTCCTAGTTTTAAGACTGGTGGATTGTCCTTTGACAGGGTCCTAGGCTGTCAGCCAAAATAGGACCAGGATGAACCTGGACAAAGCTACAAATGAAAAAGAAAGGAAGAAAGAGGCAGCAGATAAGACTGCAGAGGAGAGGGGAAAGGGGGGGGGGGGAAGAGAAAGAAAAAAAAATATTATGGTGCAGAAGAAAAATGGTACCCTCTGAGTCATAAGTGAAGAAGAGGAAGGCAATAGAAAGTTACACTAAAGAAATCTGGTGGAGAGACTACTCCCCCCCCCCCGAGACTGGGATAAGAGTAAGCATTGCAATGGGTGAAAAGGTGAAAACAAGACTATAGGGCAGGGGTTCTCAACCTTGGCAACTTTAAGATTTGTGGACTTCAATTCCCAGAATTCCTCAGCCAGCAAAGCTGGAATTCTGGGAGTTGAAGTCCACAAGTCTTAAAGTTGCCAAGGTTGAGAACCCCTGCTATAGGGGTACTCCTTGACTTACTCCTTGTTTAGTGACTGTTTGAAGTTACAGTGGCACTGAAAAAAGTGACATGACTATTTTTTTCACATTTACAACCACTGTAGCACCCCTCTGGTCACGTGATCAAAATTCTTGGCAACTGGCATGTATGTATTTGGGATGGTTGCAGTGTCCCCTGGTCATGCGATCACCTTTTGTGACCTTCTAACAGGCAAAGTAAATGGAGAAGCCAGATTCGCTCAGCAACCCTGTTACTCACTTAAAAACTGCAGTGATTCACTTAACAGCTGTGGCAAGAAAGGTCATCAAATGGGGCCAAAACTCCCTTAGCCAATGTCTTGCTAAGCAACAAACATCTGGGGCTCAAGTGTGGGCGTAAATTGAGGCCTACCTGTGCGGTAAAGGTGGCGAGTCTCAAACTTGATTACTTTAAGAGGGGTGGACTTTTAACTCCCAGAATTTCCCAGCGTGGCTAGGGAACTGTGGGAATTAAAGTCCACAACCTTAAAGTAACCAAGTTTGAGAATCACTGCTTCATTTGAAGGACAGAACCGGCCACAGGGCAAAGCCTTCCTTAAGAGCCGAGGTGGCGCAGCAGTTAGAGTGCAGTACTGCAGGCCACTTTAGCTGACTGTGTTCAGCAGGTCTCACCGGCTCAAGGTTGACTCAGCCTTCCATCCTTCCGGGGTAGGTAAAATGAGGACCCAGATTGTTGGGGGCAATGTAAATATATATATATATACATTGCTTACTGGTGTACACCGCTTAGAGAGTGCTTGCACTTAAAGCGGTATATAAGTCTCATAAATAAATAAATAAAACGATAACCGAGAAACCTGGTGGTGGCGGCGACGGTGATGGCTTCTTACGCCTGTCACGACGGGCGCCTCTCCCCTCAGTTACCAGCTAGCCAGGTGCTTCGCAGGGAAATCCCAGTCGGGCTTCCTCCGGTGTCGAGGGGGGGGGGCGGCGAAGTGGGCGGGACGGGCAACGGGCGGGAGGAGACGGAAGGCTCCTTTCGCTGCTGCTGCAGCAGGAGGAGGAGGAGTCGCCGATCAATCTTCCCTGGCTGAGGCGCACGCAGCGCTTCAGGTTGTCCCGCTCCCTAGCCGTTTGCCCGCCGGCAGGGCGCTTGGAGAGCATTGGCCGGTGGCGAAGCAGGAAGGAAGTCCCGCTTGGGGAGCCCCTGGCCGGGCGCCTTGGCTTATGGCGCTGCAGCCGAATGTCTGGGACGGTAAGTTTCCCTCCGCGCTTCCTAAAGCTGGGATCCGCCGCCGGCAATGCGAGGCGGGCGAACTTTCTCCCGCCTGGCTTGGCAGGAGGCAGCTTCCCCAAGTGACGTTTGCTAGGCAGAGACAGGCGCTCATTCATTCTCGGCAGGTCCGGGCAGCCGCCTCGGGTGCCTGCCTTTCGGAGCGAGACCGTGGCCGAAAGGCAGCTTGCAGGGAGGCACCGGACCAAACTTCGGCGGCCGGAAAGGAGAGTTCTCGTGGCCGCGGCCGAGGAGCTGCGTGTGCACCGCGGGCAGCCGAGTTGGGGCTGGGGAAGTGCGGAAGGCGACTTGCCGAAGCTTCTCGTAAGGCAGCCTGGCTGACCCGCCTGGCTTTGTTTGGGGGCAGGCTTTTTAGCTCGGAGCCCTGGCACGTGCGGCGCGTCTGTAGATGCCTTTCCCCGCTTTGGTGGAACCGGGGATTGAAAAGAGCCCAAAGGTGTGGCTGCGTTTCCAAGGCTTGCCCTGCACAGAAAGGAAAGCCCTGCTTTTGCCCTGCGTTAAAGGACCCCGCCGCACTTGCACAAAAGTGACAGGGGTCAGCTGTTCCCTTCGGAATCTTTGAGATGCCTTCCAGGAGCGAGAGAGAGGTCTTTTTCTTATAAAGCCGAGGAAACGGTACAGGGCTTAAACGATGGTCTTTCCAGGGTGTCCTAAGCTTTTAAACCCAGATTTCATTAGATGCCCAAATTGAAAAAATGGAGAGGAAATGTTACTAAAAGCTGCACAGCCAGAAACTGTGGTGGGAACTGGTATTGTTGAACAACCTTTTTTTCTCTCGACTTCAAACTCTGCACATTTGAAACCCCTTTTTTTTCTGAGTATTTCTGGAATGCAGTATTTACAGTCTTTGGTTTCTTACCTCTGCCTTGCTCAATTATTTTAAAGTTGCCAATTTCCTTAAAGCTTGCTGTACTTAAAATGCATTCTAAACTGTCTTTTTCATTTTAGCTGAACCTTCTGACCATTTCTTACTATCTTGAATGGGCCTCTTCACCGACACATTTCCATATAATTTTGGATTGAACACTTCCCTTTTCTTCAACATCTCTGATATAAAATGTTTCCAAGGGAAAACATTATTGAAGACATTCCTTTCAAACTTAATGCCATAAAGCTTAAAGATATACAGAAGCAAGCAAATAATCTAATATTTATTTATTCATTTAGGATATGGCAGATAATGAAAATATTGAAATGTAATTTTTTTTTGACTGATTTGCAAATCTGTCCTAAATTTATTTTATTTATTTATTTATTTATGAGACTTATATATCGCTTTAAGTGCAAGCACTCTCTAAGCGGTGTACACCAGTAAGCAATGTATATATATATATATATATATATATATATATATATATATATATATATATATATATATATATATATATATATTTTCATTGCCCCCAACAATCTGGGTCCTCATTTTACCTACCCCGAAGGATAGAAGGCTGAGTCAACCTTGAGCCGGTGAGATTTGAACCGGTGACCTGCTGAACACAGTCAGCTAAAGTGGCCTGCAGTACTGCACTCTAAATGCTGCGCCACCTCAGCTCTTTTAATTTACCTTAATTAAGGATTTTTTTCTTGCGGCCAGTTGCCAGAAATCCAAATTGTCAGTGTTTTGTCTACCGGACCGGACCTTTTCAATTTGTGGTTTATAAACTAGATAGAGCAAAGCTTTTTTGAATGTCAAGTCACTAGAGCAGTGCTTCTCAACCCCGGCAACATGCTGGCTGGTGAATTCTGGGAGTTGAAGTCTATACTTTCCATATGGCTTGAAGTTGCTGAGGTTGTGAAACATTGTGTTAGAGCAGTGGTTCTCAACCTTTTTAATGCCGCGACCCCCAACCGGTCGTAAGTCGAGGACTACTCAACCGGTCGTTAGTCGAGGATACTCAACTAATGCAGCACCGTTTGCAGAATGGGACTTTTGGCGGGCTCAGCAGGGCAGAGACAGCCTGGACAATTCCTATTGGCTTTTGAAAGCCAATAGAATTAGACTCTATTCAAGAGAGTCTATTCTATTGGCTTTCAAAAGTCAATAGAATAAAAGGGAGTAGCACAGCTAAGGAAAAGGGGAAAAAAATGGTGGACTGCGTTGTTTGGCGACCCCCGTGAAATGGTCGTTCGACCCCAAATGGGGTCCCAACCCACAGGTTGAGAACCACTGTGTTAGAGGCTTGATAAACTAATTCTGCTGCCTGTTTGTTATTGCTAAAACAGTACAAAGTGTCAAACACCTGGCAAGCAACAGAGCATGGTTAGTCTGGGCTCCTTGCAATATTTTCAGTCACATGCTACAATTTCATTTTTCTCTGTGAGATACTTTCATCTTGGTGAATTTTAAAAACAGCAAAATACACACATTTATATCTGCTCCAGTTTTATCTTTTACTGGTGGGGATGATCCAGCCATATTTTAGCCCATTTTATTTCCACTGATGTATTGGGTTTAAATTTCTCCCACTGAAGTAAATGGAGCATTCTCTTGTTTAGAATTTAGCAGTTTGATTCTGGGGATTAATTATTCCACTAAAATAGGCCTAACATATATTGTATAAGGCGCCATGTGTGGGTTATGGTTCTTGGCTGATTATTTTTATTATGTTTTTATCCATTTTATATCTGTGTTCCATGTTTTATACTTTTATGATGCTGACTGCCAGGAGCCTTAGTTGATTGTGGCAATGTTCAAAATTAATAAATAAATCGTAACCACCCACATTCCTTCCAGAAATGAATCTCTTTGTGCATGGAAATGTTCCTCTTTCTTTGTAGCTGTTTGGTCCCTTGGGCACCAAAAATATGCCAGTCCCTAATACATGGAATCACTAATTTATTTATAGTAACTAAAGCCCAAGCCATTTTTGCTGAATGATCTACCATAACCATGAATTATGTCATACGGTCTGTCATTTTGTAACAGCTCTTATATTTCAGTGATAGTTATATGACTTTTCTTACCATCAGGCTATATAGATCTTGAATGCCATCTCCTGGGATTTGGGGGTGGGTGGGAGAGGTGTCTCCTTTGACATGAATAGGAAAACACTATAGAAATGAATGCAGCTCTGCATATCCTGGTGGCTTGCCATTCCCATGGTAGTTAAAGTGCCAGCTGATCAGAACAGATAGTGGTATATTATTGATCCAGGCAATGAACGAACAGAGACTGAGCTGCCAGTCTAATATCCAGCATTTTCTCTATACCTTCAAACTTAATACCTACCAAGGAGTTCCCTTTTAGAAAGAGAAGATTGTGCACAGCGTTGAAAAAGAATTAACTAAATATATTAGAGGCAGAAGATAATAGGAAACCTAAATAAATCTGGTTAATACGAGTCCCATTCACTATATATATATATATGAGGTTTTCGCGGGTGTTTGTATGTAGGTCTTTGGTTATTCGGGTTTTCTCCCGCGTCAAATTGGAAGTGTCTTGGCGACGTTTCGACGAAGTCTCATTCGTCATCTTCAGGCTGGTGTTTTCGGCTTCATGCTCCTAGAAGCACAAAGCCAAAAATACCAGATGACGAATGAGACTTCATCGAAACGTCGCCAAGACACTTCCAATTTGACGCGGGAGAAAACCTGAATAACCAAAGACCTACATATATATCATTTTAGCCTTGCCAAATCATGTTTTCACCCCTTCTATACTCTGCTTCACGCATCATCTTTTGTTATTTTGATTTGTCATGTCCCTCTTTGAGAGGATCGCATTAATTGTAGCAGCCATGCCATCCTCGTTTTTTTCCTTTCCTTTCAACCCTTTCACTCTTCCTTCATGTATTTGTTTTACTGTTTGTTTCTCATTCATTCTTTCTTGGCCAGATCATGTCAGCCTTCTTTTATGCTGGTTACTCCGTTTGGTTCCTTATCCACATTCCTTCCGCTCTCGTTCATTCTTGATCTGAATTCTTCTTGGTTTATCAGATAACATTTCTTCTTTCCAGTCATGCCCAGTTCTAGGGAGCAGTGCTCATCTTCATTTCTTAGCCAAGGGAACCAGTGTTGTCTGAAGACATTTCCATGGCCATGCGGACAGCATGGCCTATATGGGGAGGAGCACAGAACTCTGTTACCTTCCCATCAAAGTGATACCTATTTATCTACTCATATTTGCATGCTTTCAAACTTCTAGGTGGGCAGGAACTGGGGTAAGTAAGAGGAGCTCAGAAAGCTTGGAAGATAAAACCTCTGGTCCCAGCGACCCACCCAGATTGGATCCAGGAGCTCACCTTGTAACATGGTGCTCGGGTTTCGAACCTGGGCTGTCGGCTTTCCAGCTGACAAGCTCAGTGTCTTTAACCACTGAGCCATCGCACGCCCCACTTCATGATGCTTGAAACGATGCTTCGATTCTGTAGCAGGCGAGCTGGGTTTTCATCATATTGCCCGCAATTAAGTTTATATATCATGTTTAACATCTTCTAAATCCATTCCTTTATTCCTGTGCTTATGGAGCATTGCTGTTCCATATTTGGAAGAAAACAGATGTGGTGTGTTATTTTGTCTCTCTAAGATTGTTGCCCCAGAGAACTTTATACTAATTCTGAAATCTGCCCTCCATCCTTTGTGATCCATACTGGTTGTGTTTGAAAGTTGAGCCAGTTTATTTCACGGTCAGCTACAAGTTGTTTGAAATCACAGAAAAAACTAGAACTTTCTTTGAAAAGCTGCAAGTCTGTGTACTCATTTGCAGGAACTTTTTTTTTTTTTTTTGGTCAGGCTGTCTGTGAGTTCCTTGATGTTAGAGTTAGGGTTAACCCCACCTAGATGATATTTCAAGGAGAAAGAAAGTTTGTTGGCTCTGCAGTTCTTCTCCTTCATAAGAACTATTTAGAATTTTAGATGCTTTTTGTGTATGACCAAACACATGCAATAGGAAACAAAAATATACTGTAGTATTAGGTGTGCATACAATTCATTTTATGTAAAGTAGAAAGGAATTTCTGCTT